AACAAGAGATTTACAGCTTGCCACAATCAGAAGTAAAGTATTATGTAGTAGTCACTAGTGGTACACACGCCAATCGTATGGTTTACTACTTTTCGAACGAACAGGCCTACACTGAAATGTTAGACCCTTCACAAACTAAAGAGTTCTGATTATATTGGTGGCTGTTCCAATAGATGAGTACCTGATTGGAAGTGCGGGTGTACTTAGGTGAGCTGATGCGCGTGTGCAGATAGACGTGTGTATGTTAAAATGATGTTGTTCATTTCCTTCAGTAAGTAATACTTATTTGTATTGTAAATGATATGAGAGCCTAATCACACGGTATGTGCGAATTTGGACTCTTAGTGCAGGTAGAAAAGGAGACCTGTCACATTTACTATACTTGTATTAAGTGTATAATTATACTGTCACAAATTATGTTTTTAAAAGAGCATTACCGCATGTGGTGCAGGAAACGGGTACCCCACTAGTCATATCTACATATTTGACTCCTTTTCGGGGGATTAAAGGCGTCCTCCCGCTTGCTTTAGTGTTTTCGCTGTTCATTGTCGTATCATTTTGTACTGGTTTTGAAATTTGATATTGTTCTTTTGTGTTTATGCTAGACTTTTTTGTTGACAATTTGTTTGGAATAGTTGTAACTATGTTGATAGCCTTGACAAGGCTTGCGCACAATACTTTAACAGCCAGTATCAATTTCGTGCTGAAGCATGCGGTGTAAAGTGTTGCCAAAGTGCTGATTTTAACAAGGACAACACCAATCGTGCATTTTATTTTGCATTCCATATTGTCGTATCATTTTAATACAGGAAGTCGTTTTGTAATGTTCCAATATAGCCTTCACCGTCTGAGGGATAATTAAAAATTAACAAAATTACTTTTAATTTCTAATCGCAAATGATTTAAGACGAAAAACGAATTAATATGTAAATAAGAACAGTCCAATATTTAACACATACAGTAAGAACATTAGCCGAGATATATGACTACAGACGAATTGTGGTTGTTTGAAATGACAGAATGTACATACACAAAAAGGCACAGCATCTGCTAGCTATAACTTGTCCGAAGCATCAATAAATCTAGACGTGTATATATTTCACGCGCTTTGCGTGGGCCGGTGCTCAACACATAACTTTCTATTTTTAGACGTTGTCGAATTCTGTTGGTGCTGGTTTGATATAATATTGCAAAAGGTTTCTACCTACCCTACGTAATGTAGTACGAGCAATTTTCAACGTATTTGCCCTAGGGCAGTACATTAAATATTACAGAACTAGGTAGACATGTCTGTCTAGATCATATAAACATATAGTTTATGCTCTGGACAATTAAAAAAATACCAACCCTCTTGTACGAAACATCCCGATGCTGTTAATAACCTAATGCAACGTTGAGTCGGTGGGTCATTTTAAAGGAAAATCTGAAGCAATACTAAACCAACGAGGAATTTCCAAATTTATGCTTTTGCCATTTATTTTTTCATAATTTCTCTATAGCTCGCTTTGTTGTTTTTCGTATTGTGTTCAAGGTATGTTGCTGTCATTCTGTTTTGTTATTTCTCTTTTTGTCTTATACTTTTCCACCTTGTTACTTTTTTGTATGGTACGTTTCATTTGGCAATTTAGTTCTATAATAATTGTTATAACTAGTAAATAGGGCTATTTTAATCGTTATAGGTAGTAAAAGTGCTATTAAAATTGTAATAGTGAATAGTGCTATTATAATCGTTATAATTAGTAAAAGTGCTATTATAATTGTAATAGTAAATAGTGCTATTATAATCGTTATAGTTAGTAAAAGTGCTATTATAATTGTAATAGTAAATAGTGCTATTATAATCGCTATAATTAGTAAAAGTGCTATTATAATTGTAACAGTAAAAAGAGCTATTATAATCGTTATAGTTAGAAAAAGTGCTATTATAATTGTAATAGTAAATAGTGCTATAATAATCGCTATAATTAGTAAAAGTGCTATTATAATTGTAATAGTAAATAGTGCTAATATAATCGTTATAGTTAGTAAAAGTGCTATTATAATCGTTATAGTTAGTAAAAGTGCTATTATAATCGTTATAGTTAGTAAAAGTGCTATTATAATCGTTATAGTTAGTAACATTGTTATTATAATCGTTATAGTTAGTAAAAGTGCTATTGTAATCGTTTTAGTTAGTAAAAGGGCTATTATAATCGTTATAGTTAGTAAAAGTGCTATTATAATCGTTATAGTTAGTAACATTGTTATTATAATTATAATAATAAATAGTGCTATTTTAATCGTTATAATTAGTAAAAGTGCTATTATAATTGTAATAGTTAGTAAAAGTGCTATTATAATCGTTATAGTTAGTAACATTGTTATTATAATTGTAATAGTAAATAGTGCTTTAATAATTTAATATAAAGTAAATATCAATAATCTAGTAATAGTTAGTAGAAAGTGCTAATAAATAGTTCCAATATAATCGTGATAATAAAGACTGCTATTTAATTGTAATAATAGGTAAAAAGTATTACATTTGCATTATAATCGTAATACTAAAAGTGATATTATAATCGTAATGGTTAATTTATAGTACTATTATAATCAAAATAGCTAATAGTACTATAATAGTCATAATAGTTAGTCTATAGTGCTATTGTGATCGCAATGCAGTAAATTGTGGACGTTATTGTTATATCATGTAGTAGACAGTAATACATTGTACATCGTAAAGTGCCATTATCGTTACAATGAAGTTCATAGTATAATTGTGATGTTGTAGTTACAATGTAGTAAATAGCGTTCAGATGTTAATGTGTGGGTACAATGTTGTAAAACAGTTGTATGGATATCATAATAACAGGGTAGTTGTAGTGATATCATGGAAGTAACTTAACAAACGACTGTTCCTTACTACATTTTGTAATAACAGTTTATCCGGGATCTTGAATAGATGTTTGGTAAAACTTGGTATTACTCATCGAATATTGTAATAGATACTAGTAATACATTGTATACACTGGACTTTCTTAAATAATAACTTTTATGTATCTTTTCTCTGTCCTTTTTTATGTGAATGTAGCATATACTATTCATTTAAAAAGCGATACACAGAAGGATTAAAATTGTAGGAAAATGATAGAATTATTCTACGTAAACAGTCTCAATCATATAATATGCGCTTCCAGTATTTCTAGCTGAACTTGTTTGTTGGTTGTAGCCTCGTTGTCAGATTTAATTCTGGCACGGTTTACACGACTTACTAAATTATGTATAAATTATAAGCTGTAGCAAAAGGTTATGAATGTAACTTAATAAAGAGGCTTTTACTGGCACCCTTTCCCTTCGATGTGTTTTCACACTTCTGACATAGAATTTCATTCTTTTGCACTTAGTAACACTAACGAGTCCTAAATGGATCAATTGGCCACACACATAATAATGTGTTTGGTTGTTGCCACCTTATCCCAAATGTCTAGTGAACATTTGACGCATTACTTCCAATATGCACTTTGTTTTGACATCAAATTGAAATCAGTCTCTACCGCCGAAAAATAGCTTCGACTGGAATGGTAATATGGGTGTTGGTCAGTCTGGAGTTTTAAATTTCTTTAAACTTTATCATATTATTCCAAATTAAGAATGCTGCTTTATCGTTTTACATTTATGTTGGGTTCCTATTTAGTACAACGCTTTCTCATCACATGGCGATAGTTTGGTACAAACATCACACGAACTACTCCATGTGTTATTCCTTATTCTAATCTGTTGATTTTGTTTAGTCTTGTATTATAGTATAACCTATTAGCACCTTAGCCTCCAAATTGTTTTGACACCTGCAATCTTTCCCATTGTTTCATCAATAACATTGATGGTACTATTGTAAAATCGTGTTTCGAAGTCATGATTGAGTACAATGTCAGGTCAATATATGTCACGTGTACTGTCATGTTGGCGACATCACAATTCTATCAAATCTGTTTGTTTCTGGCAGCGATACGTACATTGTATGTCCCATCTACTGTATAGCACACGATGTTCTCGTGCACGCACTTGGAGTGAAGACTTATCACATCAGTGTGTTTTTGTGCCTTTCGTTAGTTCTTTGTGTCAAATATTATTTAACATCTGTTTCTGTCACATGCACGATACAATCCTGCTACATGTAACGCGTGACTGTTTTGTCACGTGCTCACAGCTCATAGCCAAGTACACAGGAAGCTTGGAGCGCTGTTTCCTTGTAGGTATTGACTAATGATGTTGTTTTTGGCATTTTATGGAATACGGAAATACAGGATCTCATGTGTACAGACAATAGTCTAATAAAGGCCAGCATTGACCTGAGTGGTATTTAGGTCAACTTCAGATGCTACTGCTACATTAATATATAAGAGGAATCTATATTTGTCATTAAGTTTATTTTAATGTTTCCCGAAAAAGAAAAAAAGGCTAAGACTGGGTAAAATCAGAATGCCATATTAAAAGGTTCAATTTTCTTCTTTTACCTTAAATAAAAATAAATAAAATAAAATAATAATAATGCACATTATAATAATAACTATCTATCTTAGTTAAACAATACGTGTATAATGAATAGGTTCCTTAAAAACCTCCCAGTGACTCTTGTTTGTTCATTCGTTGTTCTTACTGTTGTCTTATTTATGACTTTGTTGTTTAATCTGTTGTCATTACTATGTGTTGACATTGTATGGCTCTAGGTTTCATTGTTTGCGATACAAAGCAGCAATTTATTTTATCTTCTGTCTTCAGTTCTTGTCTAAGGGTAAGTTGCTGAGGTTAACTTCCATCTAGCTATGACTACTTCTCTAACAGAATATAATTGTTATACACTTTGTAAAGTCGATCAACTTGATATAATTTACAGTTCAAAACGGATATTTAAATGCGTTCTTATATTGCAGAACTCGTTTAAAAAGGGAGAGAAACTCAGTGTAACGACCTATACACCTTTAAGTAAGAGTGAACAATTGTAAGCTGATTATTTTATATTTCAGTGCAGTCTGGCGAGGAGACAGCCGTTCCTGTGATCTTAGACGACGAGGAGTCCATTGTACTCTTCACGGACTACGATGACGCAGAGGTAAATATGATAATAATAATGTGCAGTGTATTATGCATGTGGTATAAAATCAATGAAATTGTTAACAAACACAACACTCTGTGGGAATAACACAATTGTCTTCCTTTAATATTTAATGTGATAATGTAACGGTGATAACAAATCAAACCGTTTCAATGCAAACTTGTTTTTTCCTTAAGCGTTATTAACATTAACCATACAAATAAAAGGCAAGATCCACGAGTTGTATCGGAATAGTGAGGTGTCTTACACGATAAATGACGCCTTACACAACGAAAATCACTAAAGATCTACACTACAAGACACAGTAAATATGTTTTTAATCCTACCACAGTCTAAAAGCCAGTAAAGCCGAAATGAGAGTATATTGGCAAATTTAATTCAGTGTAGAATGTAGAAAAGACAAGTCTGTTTACTCGCTTAGTCAACAAAACAGGGAGAGTTCATACTAACATTAATTCATTTGACTGTTCCTTATCAGCCCCTCCTTATGCTAGCCGAATTTATAGTGCTATCTCACTGAAATACCATGCGGAAGTCACCAGCACAGTACTCCGACATACCCTGTCTCTGGCACACATACACACATGAACGCATACACAACAGACATAGAGACACGTCCTTAAATGACCTTAGATGTTAATAGGACGTAAAACAAAATAAAAGAAAACCAAAGTTATCAAATATTTAGAACATTCAGATTCAAGTGCCCATCAAGACAATAAGTCTTCTTAACAACCTATCATTACAGTAAGTCTGAACGGTCCATCAGTACAATAGCTCCTAATAGTACTCCAGTACAGTAAGTCTGAACGGTCGAACAACACAAAAGTCTTAACATCCCATCAGTTCAATACGTTTCCCGGCCCATCAATACAATAAGTTTCAACTGATCATGAGTACAATTAGTGTGAACGGCGCATCAGTATAATAAGTCTTAACGGCCCATCAATACAATAAGACTTAACGTCTAATCAGTACCATTAGACTTAATGGCCCATCAGTACAATAAGAATTCACGGCCCATCAGTACATTAAGTCTTAACGGCCCATCAATACAATAAGACTTAACGGCCAATCAGTACAATAAGAATTAACAGCCCATCAGTACAATAGGTATTAACGGCCCATCAATACAATAAGACTTAACGGCCAATCAGTACAATAAGAATTAACGTCTCATCAGTACAATTAGACTTAATGGCCCATCAGTACAATAAGAATTAACGGCCCATTAGTACATTTAGTCTTAACGGCCCATCAATACAATAAGACTTAACGACCAATCAGTACAATAAGAATTAACGGCGCATTAGTACAATAAGAATTAACGGCCCATCAATACAATAAGACTTAACGGCCAATCAGTACAATAAGAATCAACGGCCCATCAGTACAATAAGTATTAACGGCCCATCAATACAATAAGACTTAACGGCCAATCAGTACAATAAGAATTAACGGCCCATCAGTACAATAAGTATTAACGGTCCATCAATACAATAAGACTTAACGGCCCATCCGTACAATAAGACTTAACGCCCCATCCGTTCAATAAGATTAAACGACCCATCAGTACAATAAGTCTATAAATCAGTAAGCATAATAAATCTGGACGGGCGAATTAATATAGTCAATAAAGTTCACTCATAGTAAAATGAATGCAAAACAATGAATTCGACGTAGTAAAGGTTTGCTTTTTGTTTATTTCGTTATTCGGTGTTGTTATGTAAGCAACTGAATTGATTATATTCAACTTTTTATTAATATACTTATATCAAAGAAATATAAGAAACTCATATCAAAATTCAGCTTTAGTTCATTTTATTTATGCACCGTTCATAAAAATGAAACAGTCGATTCAAGTCAGAGTTCTTGACATCAAAAACATGGACATGACGATCTCATTGGAAACTATTCTATAATCTGTTTTCTTGTGGCATATCATAAGCACTGATTCATTAATATTGCCATGGATGAAATAAATTTACCCGTTTGTGGTAAAATATGTTAACCTGATGTATTTCCCTACAATTTTCTCAAAACCGACTAATACAGGATCTTGCGAAATTTCTTTTACTATACCTACTTTTTCTTAACCCTGTATCATGTGTATTCAATACACATGCTACAGGGTTTGTATAAGAATATAACAATGAATGTAAATAAATGTAAAAAATATAATATTTAGACCATTTAAGTAATTTTCAGCATTTTATGACGGATCTGTTAAGTTGATAATTAAGGTACGTGTCATCAGCTGCGTGCGTATATCATAACAGGATGCGTATGGTAATGTAATGTAACTCGTAGAAATACAAGTGTACCTATATCGACTTGGTAGATGTGTTATCAAATGAGAAACAGACAAAAACGTGCAGCACAGACACGTGGACGTCAGTGTTGGCATTCGTCCTGTAAAATATTTGCATTCTCTGCCTCTTCGGTTGCGTTGAGTACATGGATACACAACTGGAATTTGCTTTTGACATAAGCTGTTCGGGTTTTTGTCCATCTCCACTGCAGTTTCAACAGAGTTGAACGTGTCTTTTCTATGTATATGGTTCTAGTAATTTCATGCATTTTTTCTGCATGTACGAAAGTCGGTAATTAAGTCTATTTTTGCCGCGGGAACCTTTACGCACGTGTTCAAATAGTCCGGTGGCAGTGGAGTCGCGTATTGGTTTGAGGTCATCTATTTTTAGCAACAATCACATTTGATTCTGTTTATATAACGTCTGCTCCGTATTTATGCATATAGACATTCCAGCCATCAAGCGGACCAATGTGCCTTTCATTACCTCGTTCAGATTGTCCTGTCAAGTACAGTTGCTTTCATCTTTCTAGGATTGCAAGAAATCGTTTTCCTGCATTCCTCCTGACCTCTCCAATATGAATGGAAAAGTGTTGATAGAAATCGTGTCGCATAACAAGACGGAAATTCTAAATTCTCTAATCAATTGTGTAAATTGGTTATATTAACAGATGCCTTGGGTACCATAAGAATCACCTACCCTTCCGGAATATCTGGGTTTGGCTCCGGTTTTAGTGGGGTTCGTGTTATTTTTCGTTTAAGTGTCTCATCGGTCCTACTTGGTATATTTTTGGGTCAACTTTGAATTAGTAATATATGTATTCCGTGTCATTTTTCCTGTTTACTTACTTTGATACGATATTTATGGAAGCAATTATCAAAGATTACTCAAGAATAAAAAGTCACTCTGCCATTTGTTTCGTTCAGCAATGACTGGCACTGTTCACGACAATAATGTTATTGGGTGTATATAAGGAAATTCGATTGGCTTTATATATAGAGATATTTGCATATGTTTTCCAAAAACAGTCGTACTTTCGTTCATTTCATTATCTATAGCCATGCGTGAGACCTTGAACACAATATCGCACGAACTCTCAAGATAATGGATTGTTTCTGACAATATGGACAAAGCATATATCCTGTTTCTTCTACTACCTCACGCGCTTGTATGATCACGTGCAGTATATGTTTTCATGTCTTCATAGAAGCAGTGTCAAAAACCAACGACCCCAACGTACTGCAACTGAACAAGATAGTAATTTAACACACATGCAAAACGTAAAGATAAAAACAAAGTCACATTTAAATCCAAATATTTTATTTATTTACTATAAATTGCTGTATTCACACGCACTCAAGATAGTGTCAGTTTTAATGGGAATACCTGTTGTTAGTTTAGTATGGCTTGACCTTGTGTTGACCTTGTGTTGACCTTATATACAATATAAATGGCTACTTTCTCTTTCCAAGTCTACTTCCCTAACCCTACTGCCTACATGTACATACAACTTTCTTTCTTAGATTTCCTGTCCATCTAAAGTCTATAGCCTTTCTGCTTTTTACTGACGTCTACAGGCAGCCTTTTCGTTATTTCATTAATTATTTGTCCACGTATAAACTTCAGCTTCAATTGTTTTATCAATACTGATATATCATTTTTGTTCATCTACTGACTTTTGTTTTACCTTCTCGTTCTCTCCTTACTCTCCTGCCTACGTATTGCCGTCTGCCTTGCTGTTTACGTATATTCTAACAGTGATAACATTTTGGGCTTTAGCTATTTAGAAATCATGTTAAGAAGGTTGGCTACGTTTTTTCTGTTTGAATTTTGTCTGAAGATTGGTAAAAAAAAATTGAGATATCAAACAACAACTGTGAATATTGCCATGTGCTGTGTAACAATGGTATCGGTAAAAACATTATTTATTGTCACGGGCTACACACCTGCTCACAAATATTGTTGTAATTTGATCCAAAGATATTTTCAAAAATATTTACATGTCCACTAAAGCATTAATCTTTTAAACCAATTCAACAAAAGCACACATTTTAAAATGAATATTGAATAAATAAGTATGAGATTTTCCACTACATGGCGATAGGTATACGGAGTTTAAAACAACAAAACGAATAATATCAAAATATTAGAAAATTGTCTACCTATTTTACCTGTGATTTTGGTAAAGTTATCCGCTACAGATTTCTTATGTATTCTAATAACATGATTTTTATCAATGTTTACGTATTTTTGTACTTCTTTCAAGTAATGTAAATTGTTCCACCATGTAAAAGGTTTTCATATTCCAAAGCTCTGTTAAAAAACAACAAATTATACCATACCCCTCAAACATAACTACAGTACGCATTTTTCTCCCGCAGGACTGTGACGTCATGTCGAACAAAGATGCCATAGTACTGGTGTTCTCGGTAACAGAAAGAGACTCGTATAACTTCGCTGTGGACTGCCTTCTTGATCTACGACAAACACTGAATTCTAACCAGGTCATCATTCTCGTGGCCAACAAAACGGACATTGTCAGAGGACGAGAGGTATCAAGTGAAGGTAAAGAAATGAAATCAGTACCAAGGGTGGTGATTCGTAGTTAAAGAAACAAGGTTGTGACATACCTATTTAACCCATTCCGAAATCCAACCTCTATACTACTGTCATGATAAAGGACTTTTAAATGTTCGCAATACCAAGTGAAATACAATTACAATGGATCTTTTGCCGGGGGAAAAAATTGTGGGACCCCCTTAAAATGACGTGTATTCAGCCTGTAGATATACACTCTTTTTCGAATAGTGTGTCTGGCTGATGGCTTCATGCAACAGATAAACATCAAAGAATTCATGCATGAAGATATACATACTCCTACTGTAATAGTTATATTCATTCAATGTAGTTCATGCACAGATATATAATCCTTCGAAAACAGTTATATACGTTAATACAGGCATACACGCTGTCGTCATTATTATATTTTGATATTTTCATGAAGTAAAAACAGGAGTAGTTACATGCAGATAATTGTTTTATTTACTCATTAGTTGTATGAAAAGAAATATTCACCTTATGAATAGAAATACATGCTTCACAAACTAAAAGTTATTGTTTGTATCTAAATTATATACAATAACAACAGCAGGGATTTCTCTTTTTTCACAGAAGCGAAAACTATGTCGGAGCAATACCGATGCAAGTATGTAGAAACATCGGCATCCCTCAACCATCAAATCGACGAGCTTCTTGTCGGTGTTTTAAAGCAAATACGACTGCACAGAAAGGCAAAAAGAAAACAAAAGAAACAAGACACGTCAGCCGCCTCAGCTTCTGGTGCCACGGCGAATGTTCCGACACAAGCGTCTGAGAATTTAAAACCAGAGGAAAAGCAGAGCGAATCAGTCATCAGACGCTTCTTTAAAGGATTGTTTGGTCGCTTTAGCAGGAAGAAGGATAACGTGGACAATCTATACAACTGAACTAAATGGTGCTGTCTTGTAAATATGATATGTTAAGAATATGGGGCCAAATCGTGTCTGTCACCTAAATGAGATACAGAACAATATATGTTGAATAACGAAAGCTTCATTTAAACATGAAAGAAATATATCATAGAAGACAGTAATCAGGGAATGATTCGTGTATCTCTATTTGTATATAAGGATTACCGAATAAATTGTTTTGAGTCTTCCTGAAATTAACCTAGCATGTAATATAACGTGCTTGTATGTCGTAACGTGCACTTGCTGCATTTTAGATATTTTAAATAGTCTCATATCGTGTCCGTCCGCACTTAAGTGAAACTAATTTGTTTGAAAGCAGACTAATAAGGGAGCATACGTATAAACAGTTATGCAAGTTCATTTCGGGCGATATTCAATACTCATATGAGATAAAAACAGCAAAGAAACTATTTGGCCCCATACAAGATCAACCGTCTCCGCTAACAGCACCATAGCACTCTCGTGTTGTAAACAGGATTAACAAAACGCGTCCGTCCAGTTTTTTGCCAGTCTCCGGAACTGACTATATCGTTGGTGTGTATGCCCTCGTACTAAGTATGTGTGTGAACAACGTGCCAAACTGATGACAACAGGAAAATAAGACAAATAAGTGCAAAACACCAGGCTTAAATCCAGTTTTAGCTAAAGTAGCAATATTCTACATTATGTACTCGATACAGTTAAAGTTTGACGAGAACCAGTTTCAATTATCCGCCAAATTCAGATTCATTCAAATACAAAAAGGCAACATTAGGTAGCCCTTATCTCAGTAACAGCTGTGGTTGAGCGATAGGCAATATTTTCGACTTTGAGATATTCGTGTTATCAAGGAGTAAAAATGAATTATGACGTTAAACTCGCCTCGAGATATATTGATATTGCAAACAAAATATGTTTTTTGTTTGTGATTAAAAAAAACCGATATCAGGTTTGTAAGATATAATTGGAATTCAGAAATACAGAAAAATAATTATCAAAAGCTGTGCTTTTTTTCAAGTTTTGCCTGTTTAACGTTAGATGTGTAACTGCTTAAAAAATCAAATATATCGATTGTTCTAAAAAACATTAATACTTTGTTGAATTATATGCAGTGACATATGCCTAATTGTTGGTGGTTTAAGCGACATGTGATTAGGGATGTCCTAAGCGACACCTTATTGAATATAATGTATTTAATGTGGCGTGATTTCATGGCTCATGTTTTCATTTCAGACATTCCTACTCATCAACCATCTTGGATTAAAACATTTTTACAAGTTCCAATATTGTTGATTTGTTTTTATATTTCATTGATTGTGTTCACAGAGGAATATAGATTTTTTGAAATTTTAAGCCGGTATGAACTCCGGTTATTTATAAACTGACTATAATCAATTAAGTTATGGATATTTTCTCGATTTTGATTGGCCTACGCACCGACAATAACGTCTCTAAATTTCGAGGGATTTCATTCACAGTTAAGAATGTGCTAACATAATGGAAAAGTGCGACCCATGTTTGAAGATGAACATAATTCGTTTCCATCTAAGTGTGTGCTTGCATAACGGCTAATGATTGGCAAAAATCGAAATTAAATGGAATATATGATACTGAAATAGAAATACATAATGGCCGTCTTCGGTTACTGTTTTGGACATAATATTATTCGAATGCTGTAGTACAATGTGATATGCATAACAAATATTTAGAATAGCCAGCTGGGGGTTGTTAAGGACTTATGAAGGGCAAAAGACCTCGGATTTACATGAAATGCTCATTTTGCTTCCTACGACCGATGCATTTCAAATTCATAATTGATTGGTTGATCACATCGACACCAATGATTGCTGTCGATGTTACTTGTATCTTGGTAGGACGTACATCACATTTACCAGATAGCGTATAGACATGCGCAGTAAATCACTGGAAAGAATATCGGTTTCGGGATGGGTTAACAAAGGGAAATAACGATGGAACTAACATTTTTGCTAAGTTACATTATATGATTCTAGGGTTGTAACGTAGCTCTTGGCCTGCAATAATAAATTGGCAATATAGTTTCTCTAGGTAGGTTTATGATGTATCACCCATCACAAAGAAGGTTTAGTGGGGAAAGAAAGTGCATACTTACATTTTGGCAACACAATATATTCGCTCGGTTTACTCAAGAAACTATCCTATCCTATGCTGCTATCTGTGCAGTCTTGTCTATGTTAGAACCTTGGATCTGGGCATGAAGTAACGAACATTCATTATCATTATCCAGCATTTAGTGTCCTTTGTGGAATGTCTGTGGCAGTCAGTGCTTCCTACATGTTCAAAGCCTAGGGATGGTCTGTATCATCAACATGGCAGCACTTGGCATGCATGGGCTGTGATAAACCCCATGTCTACGCCCTACAATGTATAACACACGTTAGGTCGCTAACAATTAGTGTGTCTAGGTATCCATCAGTGGTTTAACTGGATGTGCGTAGATTTTGAAAGTTTTGTATGATGACAAACTTGGATAAGGTGATCCCTAGCTTCTTATTTAAGGTATTTATTTCATATAACTAGCTGTATTACTCTCCTTGTGGACTTTCAGTCTACGAGGTTGGTTGTAGCTTGATTTTATTCAGGCACAATACAGAGGAAATGCCATAGCTGTTGAAGCCAAAATCATTAAATGTGAAACATTGAATATGTTCTTATATTTCTATTCCACATTGTATACCACAATATGTTTAAGACCACTTCAAACATGATATATCTATCCTGTGACCTTGAGTACCATGATAAGTACAAAATGGACAAAAGGTCATATGGTGCAATCAAATGTTTACTTTTTTTTTTGCTTTCAGGATGGACAAACTAAATCTTAATCACATGTTTTCTTATTTAGTATTGTTAGTGATTATATTACACATAAGTTGCCTTCAATTAGTTCTGCCTCATAATTATACTAAACAGACCGGATTTAAGTGATATATAGTTAGTTCGCTGGGGAAACTAATTGCTGCAATATTCTTCTTTAAATTCAACTAAAACGATGTCAACAAAATAGTTCATATGATGGCTATACTATCCCCTGTTTCATTCTACTGAAACATCTTCCATAATGCTCTATTTCTTCGCTCGTTATCCTATTACTGATTCTATATGTTAAAGTAAATTTAGAATCACATTTCTTATTTACAAGAAACCGGTGATAGTAATCGAAACGAGGCGACCAAATCTATCGCATGTAAAGAAAGATAACTCGCATAATCATACATTACAATGACGACCTAACATTGACTTGTGTATCAAAAACAAAGAATAGGAACAAAAAACCAATAACCGACGAATGTGTTCGGTACCGTTTTTTATTGTCAAATGTAGTCCAGTGTCATAGTGAGTAATCAGTGAAATATTGAGACATTAAAACAGCTATTTAAAATCGGAAATTCGTTGTATTCATAACATTTGTTGACTTCAATAGTAAGTTTTATACCCGTTGAAATATAATCATGCTTGCATAAAATTTGAGTTGGTTCAATTAGTGTCCGACAATGATGCCAATTAAATATAGACATTGCATTTTTTTAAGCAATAGCAGTGTATAACAGAATATCTTTACACAAACAAAAAAAACGTTATATGTAAAATATCCGGATAATTGTAACCGAAAAAACAATATTGTAACAGGTATATATATTGCATAGGCACATACGTCTCCGCCTTCATCAACATGCATCTATTGCTTCACTTCGGAGGAGCGTGATTAATTGACTCTAGAAATAATCTAATAATAAATGAAGAAAAATACTTAAGTTATTCATCAACTATAAAAAGATGACCGTGACCTTGTCTTTTTTTGTAATAGGGAATTTTCTCTGTTCCTTTTGTTGCTTTCCTTTTTTTCTATTTTTTTTTAAGAATTTCCTCAGTTCCTCCGTGTTACTTTTCGTTTTTTCTATTTTGTTTTAAGAATTTCCTCAGTTCCTCCGTGTTGCTTTCCTTTTTTAGTTGTTTTTTGTCAATTTCTTCAGTTCCTCCGTGTAACTTTCCTTTTTTAGTTATTTTTTTAAGAATTTCCTCAGTTCCACCGTGTTACTTTCCGTTTTTTCTATTTTGTTTTAAGAATTTCCTCAGTTCTTCCGTGTTGCTTTCCTTTTTTAGTTGTTTTTTTGTGAATTTCTTCAGTTCCTCCGTGTTACTTTCCCTTTATCGTTGTTTTTTTGTGAATTTCTTCAGTTCCTCCGTGTTGCTTTCCTTTTTTAGTTGTTTTTTGTCAATTTCTTCAGTTCCTCCGTGTAACTTTCCTTTTTTAGTTATTTTTTTAAGAATTTCCTCAGTTCCACCGTGTTACTTTCCGTTTTTTCTATTTTGTTTTAAGAATTTCCTCAGTTCTTCCGTGTTGCTTTCCTTTTTTAGTTGTTTTTTTGTGAATTTCTTCAGTTCCTCCGTGTTACTTTCCCTTTATCGTTGTTTTTTTGTGAATTTCTTCAGTTCCTCCGTGTTGCTTTCCTTTTTTAGTTGTTTTTTGTCAATTTCTTCAGTTCCTCCGTGTAACTTTCCTTTTTTAGTTATTTTTTTTTGAATTTCTTCAGTTCCTCCGTGTTGCTTTTCTTTTTTCTTTTTCTTTTTTTTAATTTCTTCAGTTCCTCCGTGTTGCCTTCCTTTTTTAGTTGTTTTTTGTCAATTTCTTCAGTTCCTCCGTGTTACTTTCCTTTTTTAGTTATTTTTTTTTGAATTTCTTCAGTTCCTCCGTGTTGCTTTCCTTTTTTATTTTTATTTTTTTTTAATTTCTTCAGTTCCTCCGTGTTGCTTTCCTTTTTTAGTTGTTTTTTGTGAATTTCTTCAGTTCCTCCGTGTTACTTTCCTTTTTAGTTGTTTTTTTGTGAATTTCTTCAGTTCCTCCGCGTTACTTTCCTTTTTTAGTTTTTTTTTTTGTCAATTTCTTGAGTTCCTCCGTGTTACTTTCCTTTTTTTTTTTTTTTTTTTTTTTTAATTTCTTCAGTTCCTCCGTGTTGCTTTCCCTTTATCGTTGTTTTTTTGTGAATTTCTTCAGTTCCTCCGTGTTACTTTCCTTTTTTAATTATTTTTTTTTGAATTTCTTCAGTTCCTCCGTGTTGCTTTCCCTTTATCGTTTTTTTTTTTTTTGTGAATTTCTTCAGTTCCTCCGTGTTGCTTTCCTTTTTAAGTTATTTTTTTTTAATTTCTTCAGTTCCTCCGTGTTGCTTTCCCTTTATAGATTTTTTTGTGAATTTCCTCAGTTGCTGTTGTTGCTTTCCGTTCATATTTTGTATGTTGATTAGGTGGTGTTTTCTTAAAAACATAACGCCATTCCATGTTGACAAAAAGATGAAACAGTTCATATTCCTGGATAATGTTGAAACATAGTTAAGATTACAATAACGTCAACAAAGTGTAAGGTAAAGGTACGTTTCCTGATAATGCTTAGAATTCAGGTTATTCTCAAATCAATATTTAATAGTTTTAATACGAACATGTGTTCGATTGTAAACATCACTTTATCTAATTAATTAAACTAGTTTGCATTGTTTCATTTTCCATGTAGGGATATGCATGATAGTCTGAAAGAGTATTTTCAACAGCAGAATTCAGAAGAGATCTTTATATAATGACGATAATGAAAATGTTCTTTTAATCATTAAACGATCTGCTGTCATCATTAAGTGTTCATTTATTATAATTACCAGATGTGACTGTGCCAAATGATCACAAAGAAAACACAGAACTGTCGTAGAAATAGCTCTACGAAGCTATACTTATATAATTGTGATGCCAGACATAGAATCAAACATCTTGTGAGTTTTAGCTTTTAGAGCAATTAAAGTGAAAGACCCTGTTGAAGTAAAGCGTCAAGTGATATAGCATTAGTATGTTGACCTCCTTTACGACGTTAATAACTCTCATATACCCTTTTGTTTAATAAATTGTCGTATGTATCAAAGGGAGATAACTCTTACCGAACTAACTACGCAATGCAGTGCTCTCCCGTACACTGTTTTACTCATATGTATTTGGTTTATTTATTCAAGCAATTACAAATGACCGTTGGATTATTCATGCTATAGTTATATCAAGCTTGTTTCGGTGACAAGATTTTGCAGAAGACTATAAGCATTCCGATGGCAACAAACTTTGACCATCGTCAGGCCGACTTCTGTTCATATGAGCCTGAATGTATTGGAGACCTTATCAAGACAGGTAACACAAATCTAGCAAAGGTCTATAATTCCACATTCAGACGAACCTACAATGTACTAATACTTTAACCGCAGAAAGTTTATTGA